CACTTTTCAAAAATATAACGCGGAAACAAGCACGTACCCGACAAAAACGTGTCCATCCAACACGACGGATGATGCAACAAGATTCACGGCTATTTCAAAATGGCAAGAAACAAAAGAGAAATCGGAAGCAGAATTACATATTCAGATGGCATTGGCATAGATCGAGGGAGCTATATGCGCCGAAATCCGCATTGCGAACAACATATGGATATACAAATTTGTCCATTTAGGGATATCCGTAGAGCATCCATAAATATATATCCTATGGACAGCTTATAAAGGTCCATGGACATCCCGACCAGAAATGGACATGAAACGGATGTCCGTAGGACATCCTGTGCTGTCTGGGATGATGATCTTGTCCTTAGTTGTTCTTATAAACAATGTCGAATCTCTTTTTCTTCTGTTTAAAATAGACTATTTTAAATAATATTTACTTTTTCACTACAAACTACAATCATTATTCATCGTATATCACAACCATATATTTAACATTACATATATTAGGTTCATTCAGAACAACCGCTCACTAAGCGCTCAGTAAGCTCTTTCATCTGATTGTCATATTCAGTTGTCATTGTTGATATTCGGTCTATTTTCTGTTCCTGTACTAGACTGCATTAAGGTACATTCACATGTAATCGTCAAGCAGCGGAAGCAGCAACCAATAAGTGAAGCGATATGAATAGTGGCGTAAAAAATATTTATTTCGCCACCGCAAAGCGTCGGAAACCGTGTAAATTCGCCTTCCTGTACACCGGACGCAGAAACGCTTATCGCGCGTTCCTAACCAATAGGTCTTTTCTTTATTCCTACACTGTCTGAACTGGTGCACACGGTGCAGGAATAAAGAACAGATAATCTTATCCGCACATGTGGAAGTGAGAGGTCCAACTATTTTCTATCTCGTTATGTCGTTACAATAAGTAAAACGCGGGGCTGATCAAAACGCGGGGCCGCGTGCGCTGCACCGTCGCACATAGCCTAGTACCGGCCCTGCTACTACTGCCAAGCGTGTACGCCTGTCAATCGCTCTCTACGCGCGCGGGTCGCGAGGAGCGGGGATGGTCTGAGGCGTGTCGTCCGAGTTTAGAGGCTCGCGGCGATATGCGCGGCGCGAGACGTTTCCCACTTCCCGCGCGCCAAGTAACGATGGCGGATATTCAGTAGTAGTAGGCCGGACGAACGCGCTTATTCGGTTATATTTAAGGTCTAATATCTCGTTAAATATTGCGTCAACTGAAAAATGATATAAGACTTTTCGACTCACAATCAGTTCGGTCTACTCTACCTGTTCCTGATAGGTGATCCGCTCGATTAAGGGGTTATACATATATCAGTTACTTTTCGTGGTAATATATTATATTAGATAATATCATTTAAAGTGTTAAAGGTTTAAATTATTAGGGATCTTTTTTTGATTAGATGAACATTTAAAGATTTAAATCTTTGAGAGGATTCTTATACGAGTGGCTGAGAATAACCGCCAAATATTTCATGGGTGGGTAGAACAGACAATACTGAGTGAGTCGAAAAGTCCTGTACCATTTTGGGATTGCAGCAATAGTTAACGAGATATTAATTTTTAAAGATTGGCAAATACGCGCGTTCGTCCAGCCTACCACACCATTGAGTGTATGTACGCCTACAGAACGCCGCGATGGGCGCGCAGGCCGCGCGAAGCGGACGTTTGGGGGCTAGCAGCGGTGTGCGCGACGCGGTCGGCGGAGCGCTTGCCAACCATCCCCACTCTTCGCGCGGCTAGTTATCGCGATAGCGAATATTCGGCGCTTCAGAAATTAATATTTTGACAGCGAAAATCGGGAAATGATCGAAATCTTTTTGAGAACTCAATTTAGTTCTAAAGCGTGTACATGCCCGTGTACATACAGAAAAATGTTATAAATATGAATTGTTTTCAGTAAATAATAAGTGTATTTTAATTGTACCAACAACGTTCATTAATAAGATAGAGCGGACTAAACTGAGTCGAAAAGCCTTTTACCAGTAATTTGTAATTTTCGCAATATAGTTAACAAGATATTAATTACTAAAATATTAATCTTCAAGAATTTTTCATTCAAGTACTATCAACTTTACAGAAAAACAGCAAGAAGCAAAAATTGTTTATTTTCTTTTCATAAAGTTCTACAAATTTTT